CCTGCTGCCTACAAGCTTCGTCTGTCCTCTTTCCCCTTGTTCTTTGACTCAGGGTGAGCTGGCTGCTTCTTATAAAGAGGCTTAGTAAAGCCCTGACTTGCTGTTTGGTCTTGCCCAAGTCACTAACCTCTCTGAACTCCTGCCTCCTTACCACCACCTAGCTGCTCCTAGGGTTGTGGGAGCTAGTAAGGTGCTCAGCCTATGACACAGCAGATGTTAGGTCTCCCTCGTCCCCCACCTTCTCAATTGGTAATATAGCGACCCCTTCATGGCTAGGCCCACACGTGGGCCTATCGGCCAGTTTAGGGAACAGAAATATGAGAAGACCGTGGGTATGGAAGCCCAGGCCCATCCAGCCCTGCCCCTCTGTCAGACCTCCCCACTCACCCTCCAGCCTGATGCTCTGGGGAATCACCTCGAAGCGGACGACACGGTAGGTATGTTCCTGGTTCTCTTCCATGTCTTCCCGGTGGTAATAAAGGATGAATGAGAGGTGATTGTGCAGGTAGATCTGAAGTGAAGCAACAGAAAGGACAAAACAGCTAACAACTATAAACAACTAGAAAGTCAGTCAGGGAGAACACTCAAGGCATTAGGCCCCTCCTCTTTTTTTTTTTTTGTTTTTTGTTTTTTGTTTTTTGTTCCCAGGGATTGAACTCGGGTCCTTGTGCTTGCAAGGCAGGCCACCAAACCGCTGAGCTAAATCCCCGGCCCTGGGGTCCTCCTCTGAATGCCTGGCTGTATCAACCTTCCAAAAACACTGCTAATGATAGCAGTGATACCACCCTTCTACTCACCTACTCTACAGCCCTCCCTGGGCTTTACTGGATATAAGTCCAATCCTTAGCCTGACATTCGAGATCTTCTATCATTTGATCCTAAAGCAGCTGGCCTTTACTATCTTCTAAAACACATTTTAAAAAAGGCCAGGGAGGGATTTGGCTCAGTGGTTCTGCCACCTGCCTCACAAGCGCAAGGACCCAAGTTCAATCCCCGGTACCAAAAAAACAAACCAATAAAAACAACACATTAGTTTTCCTGGCATCCCCAGCTCCTCCCTGCCCCATGAACAGTTCCTATCCTGCATCTCTGTTCATGGCATGCATTCCAAAGAGGATGCCACCCCCATCTCCACTCAGCTGAAGCCTAACTAGTTTCCAAGGCCTGCCTCTTCCTCCATGACACTGAATGTACAACATATTCCCTCTGATCTTCCCTGGCATTGACAGCCAGGGGTGGGCAACTGGGATTCAAGATCCAGGGCCTCACTCTGCTGATTCTTTCCCAATTAGGACAGAAGCCTATTGAGGACAGGGTCTATGCATCAAAAGGAAGATTTTTGTACCTTATTCTCTACGTACGTGTTCAGCTTAGAAAACTACATGTGGAAAGAGAACATGGCTATAATCAGCTGTGATAATATATGATTATCAGCTTATTCCTAGGGCAATGCTGTGAGACACTCACAGGCATGTGTGATTTACTCTGCAAAACCACCCCAAAGTGTGGGAATCATTATCACACCCATTACAGATACAGAAATACAGACTCAAGGCCCCTCAGGCAACTAGTAAGTGTCAGGATTCAAACCAGGGACCCTGCTGACTTTTCATCACTATGTGGTTCTCTCTCTGGCACACTGATGAAGTTCCAGATTTCACTTGCTTAAATCATATAAAAAGGGAATCTAAGATTTTAGTGACTATGCCTTCAGTTTCTTGTAGCATCTTCCAGAGGCTGCCTGTTATGACTTGTATTTAGATGTCCCTCCAAAAACCTCATGCAGTCATAGGTGGGGCTTTTTCGGATGCGGCTGGATCTAGTGTGTGACACTGGGATTGATTCATGGTGCAATGCTAGGATTAAGGGTGTGAGTGCTATCTGTCCTAAATAGCCTGGATAAGATGTAAGGGATAGAAAGAGTTGTGATCAGCCACTGTTGCTTTGTTACCTTCTGCCCACCATGAACTGTCTCTCCTCTTGATGCCTGTCGGTCATGCTACTTTGCCTTGGAGCCACCTGATTATGAACTGAAAATTCTACAAACTGTGAGCTATATCAACTTTTTCCCCTTTCACTTTGTGTGTTGGGTATATTGTCTCAGCAATGAGAAAAAAAACTACAACACTGCCCTAAGCATGCATATCTCTGAGGGATCATCTCCTCGGCAGACCCCTACCTGTTCTAAGCCCAGAGCTTATTTTCTCCCTTGAGGTCCCAAGTGCTTGTGACTTGTGAGGTGTGGATCCTCAGCCCTTTGAGCACACCAGAGACACTCTACCTTGTTGACATCCATGAAGCCGAGCCGGTAGCCATGTTCAAACTGCACATCTTTTTCTTTCTTCTTGTCATCACTGTCACGGCTAGAGTACAGCTCCAGCCGGGTGGCCACAGGCAGGTTGTCAGCAATGCTGGAAACCCAAGACCCTGTTCAGTCCCTCTGAACAGCCTCTCCCACCAGTGCTCTCCCCTAGGCAAATCTGAGGCCAGCAGGGAGCACAGAACAACTCACAGGTGAACATAGTAGTCTTCTGTGATGCGCTCGGCCACAAGCCTGCTCTGTTCCACTGTCAGGGTCACTGGCTTGCTGGACTGGCTGCACAGAACTTCACACTTCTTCTCACTGTTCATGAGAACCTGGAAAGGGGTGTTGACAATCCGGTCCCCTCTCAGCACCTCTCCTGCCGTAAAAGAGACAGATCGAGCTCAGAGCTTCAGCCCTGAGGTTGCTGAGGTCAGCAGTCACAAGATGTGAGCTGGCAGGGCAAAATGGACTTCCACAGTCTTCAGCAGTTCTCAGCCTGGCAGTCCATTTTCTGCCTCATCTGTTTATGCTCAGCTTGCCCATCCTTGTCACTCTTCCTTCCTCCTTTGTGCTCTAGCACCACCAGCTCTTTAGAGCTCAAATGACCATATCCTTCCAAACCTCTGCACTTGGGCTGGCTTCCTTTGCCTGGAGTGTCATTCCTTGCCCTGTGCTTCAAGCTCAGCTTCCCCTTCACTCTCTCTTGGAAGAAATTGTGGGTCTCCTGATTTCCCTCTGAATAGGGAAGAGAGACAGCTCTGACTCCATGCCACCCGGTATTGCATCAGGCCTCTGCCACTTACTAGCTTAGCAGTCTTGGCAAGTCAACGTCACAAAACCTCAATCTCCTCACTTGTAAACAGTATAGTTATAACACCTATCTCATAGAGATATGGTAAGAAATAGAAGCATTAATCCAAGTTCAGGCACAGAGCAGCCAGGCAACAAACACTATTTTCATCACCTCTCTACCTTTTCATGTCAGTGATGTAACTGTACTATGCGTTGAAATATTTGTTTTTGGCTCCTCCACCTCTGTGCTCTTTTGGTAGTACTGTGGATTGAACTGAGGGCCTTTCCACTAACCTACCCCCCAGCCCTCTTTTTAGTTTTTATTTTGAGATAGGGTCTCACTAAGTCACTAAGTTGCCCAAGCTGGGCTCCAACCTATAATCCTACTGTCTCAGCCTCCCAGGGTGCTGGAATTATAGACAGGAATGTGTCACCATCCCCAGCTGAGTGTGAACTCTTTAAAGGGAGACACTTTTTTTTTTGTTTGGCGGGGTACTGGGGATCGAACTCCAGACCTTGCACTTGTGGGGCAGGCGGTGGTACCACTGAGCTAAATCCCTGGCCCTGCATGGTTTCTTATTTATCTTTGTGTCTTCAGATCCTAATTAAGGCAGAGCAGAAGTGGAGTAAAATGCCACACTTGAGGTTTTTAGCCAAAATATCTTTTTACATGACAAGTGGCACATTTTTTTTTTTTTTTTTGTTACCAGCGATCAAACCCAGATCCTTGTGCTTGCAAGGCAGGCGGTGGAACTACTGAGC